AATAACCGAAACGCGAACGGCAATGACGGAGCATCGCCTGGCGCCACATTTTGATTAACTCATGTTTATTGAAATGTGACGTCACAATTGGAAATGTCAAGTGATTGATTGTTTTCGCGGGAGAAATTAATGTAAAAATATGTCCTTCCTCCATTATCTAATAACATTTTTCAGAAAAAATGAATCTGATAGTGGCTAATAATTATAATCATAAAAAAGTATTAAAATAATTTTTCCAAATCATATCTGCAATTATTAATTAAGGATTTATGCTGCGCAATTAACCATCTTTTTATCTGTATATCGCAATGCGGAAGCCATGAGAAATCTTTTGGCCTCACATCAACTCTTAAGTGAATTGTACTGAGCTAAGTATTACCATATTTTCTTTTCACTCGTTTCGCATCGCAAAGCGTGAATCACACACGACCGAATCGATTTCTATGTCATCATGAGTCACATATTGATTCTTAATCGCATGCAGGTCTGACTTAAGAAGTAAATTGTGGTTAATTAAGGCCACTAACATCAAAATAATTAGTGTTTCTTTTTTTTATCAATAAAAATAAAGAATACCGCTCAAAACGAAAGGAAGCTAAAATTTAATGGCTCTGCATTGCGTATAATGTATTTATACCATTGAAATATCATCGTCACATCAGCACCTACTGCTTGGCCTTAATAATAGGAAGAATACGCAAAGACCCACTACGACCTAGTGTGGATTGGTTCCTGCAGATGCAGCCGAGACCAACGGCTTAATGTGCCTCCCCAAGCACGGAGGAGATCCACATTAAAATATACGTATTGTTATTTAAAATATACGTATTATTAGTATTACCTGATGAGTTGTGTGTGGTTTGAGTCATCTCATCACTTTATACAGATATAAAGCCTATGCGCGCATTGTTAATATATTTTACATCGGGACTTATGATTTTTCAGTGTGCTTTCGACCATTCTATAGAATTTTATTAAATTTAAAATGAGCTTACTCTTGATTTCAATGAATACAAAAGTTAACTTAATTGTCAAGTGTTCAAGTGTTCGCGATATCCATCAAAAATATATAAAAATCTCGTGTCATGTATTTTGTCTTTGATAAACCATGAAACTTCACATGTTTCTTGTAATATTGCTATAATTAAAAAAAGAAAGGGTCTATACAGGGTTATTCAGGACTAGATAGCCGACAACTTAACCAACAACATTCTAACAGCCTTTTTTTTATTCGTAACGTGTTACTGTCATTTAGACACTTAATTTGTCGCCCGTTTGTTAATAAAATTATAATAACAACGCCATTATGTCCGTACTTCACGCAACACGCGATTGTGTGTCTTCCTATGGTTTATTAATAAAATATAGATAGACATAACTATAAATGTCACTAGAGTCCAATATAAACTTAACATTTTTGTTTAAAGTATTGCTTTATGTTAAATAAAAATGATAGGACAAAAGGGGTCGTTTACCCAAAAAGCAAAAACTTCATATCAGGGACTTTTACGACTTCAACTAGAATAGCTGTCTTGTAATAATAATGAGATAACTATCAAATTATATACACATCTTATAATTTTCCGCTAGAAACGTCGTTGTGAAATATATGGAAACAAAATGTGACAAAGATAGTTTTTGAGAAGGCGTACGGGAGAACGCATTACGTCATTGCCTTTTTTCTTTTTATAAACATGTAAAAGACACCACAATAAAGTTGTGAAGTTCGTTCTATTGAGTAATTTGATCCTTCATAAAATTTCAACGTAAACTATAATAGATGTCCAAAAATATCTGTTAACAAATAGATTTTGCTTTAACAAAAACTAAGCTATAGTTTTTAAAGATAAACTCGTACTAAAGGTACAGTGGTAATTAGATAATTTAGTACACCGATCGACCGTTAAAATGTTAGTTGGGTATAATGTAGTCCTATGTGACCGCTGTGTTTTACAAATAACCCTGTATATGCATAGGTATATTGAATCGCAGTCTTCTGTTATCAACATTTTTTTTTTACTTAAATAATGCACAACACATGAGTGCGCTACGGTACGGTATAGTAATCGCATAATTATGACTAGAATTACGATACCTACTACCTCGATTCACTCATTAGCACATTCTCTCTGTATTGTAGAAGCCAGGAATTGGTAAAGTTTTGACGTAAAGTTGAAATATACAAAATATTCTAGATGTTATAAATCCATTAAATTATTTCAACAATATAATTAATTTTTATTTGAAACAAATTAAAAAATGTACAATAGATTTATTGCCAATAGAAGCAAATTGCGGAGTAAATGTCGAAGGCAATCTCTACCAGTCAACCAGTTTTTTTTTTGCAATATTTATGGAAAACAATTATGGTGAGTCGATAGGAGCATTGATTTTTTTGCCTTTTGAAAGTTTGGTTAAATTTGGTTTATAATGTATTCAAGAATCGACTGCACCTTTTTTTATGAGGATCGACAACATAATATATAGTTTACGAGTAAAAAGTTGTTAACCTTTGGTTTAAGCTATTATTTGTACGTAATAATTATTTGTAGCCTTTTGTGGCAAAGTAAAGCTGTTGCATTTTAACTAGAGTAAACTTAGTTACAATATCGTCAAACTGCTTTTTAAACCTAATCGAGGAAGATCCTCTACTAACAACTTGTCATTCGACCCATGGAAACCCATGAAAAATACATTTGTAAGTTTCAAAATACGGTGTATGGATATTATGTGAGTTGTCGCTAAATCAGTCAACGAAAGAAATATCCGCTGAAATTAGTGTAGACATTCTATTGAATCCTTTTTTATATAAAAATACAAAATAAGATTGATTCATTCATTCATACGCGTCTCAGATGTCCTATCCTTACATCATTTTGAAATTCACTTCACTTTTGCTGAGGAACATTAATACCAATTCAAGGTTATGCGGATTAGCTTTCGAAGTGAATGTGGACACTTGAGTGAATTCGGGTTCAGATTTTTATGGAATTGCTCTGCTGATCACGAACCAGATTGATCGTCTAATTAAATAATTACACAATTTAATTGTTGATTTAATAAATATCTGTATTCATTGTAGACACCTCTGGAAGTAACTCCCATTAAATAATGCTTGTGATATTCCACCTATTAGATAGGGGCATCAATCAACACAATACACGATCAATCTGATCAAGATCACGGAATAATTCGACGCCAGACTGATCGTCTCATGGGCCAAATATTATTATTTCATGTTCATAGTTCTAAGCAATCATTTACGTGAAACATGTCTCTTGGAAAACGTTCTAGATTCGATGTCTGACTATATAACACAAAAGCAGATCAACAAACACTTACTGTTTTATGATATTCGAAGTTTAAGCTTTTCACAACCGGGTAAAATTTCACAGTCACAACATATAAGGGGATTGTGTGGCCCTTATATTTAGTGTTGAGAAATTTCAGTTCGCCCGGCCCGAACTCAATTCAACTACCGTTTTCCACGCATTCTCCATGGGCGTACATGGTGGATTTGAAAGGGTGAAAAGTGATTTTAACTATGAAATCCCAGTAAAACTGTGATTTCATACATAAAATCTAGAGATTTCGAAAAAAAGATACTTCGAGGTATTTATTATGATTACATATTACGGCGAGTGAAGTGACCAATACTCTTTTTTCTATCAACCTATTTAGTACCTACTCAATTAATTTATATTATAATCCTCAGTTCAGTTGACTTTTGCCAAACGATCCCTGACTATTAAGAGATACCCTGTAATTATACATTATATAACACTGTAGGAGAACTTGATATTATACCTACATTATTACGATCTTTGAAAACAACTCAAACTCCTCATGGTGGAATGCCAAGTGATTTCTACACTCTTTTCTTTCTGCGAATTCTCACCTGCGAATAATGACTATCACTTACGTCCTACGGTGAGTCCACAAAGACCGAGCCAACTCGGGAACATGGTGCGCATATAATGTATAAAGAACTAGCGAAAATCAGTACCTAGTCCAATAAAAATCATAGGCTTATAAGTTAAGCACAAAGAGGCTTCATGAATTCTTAAAGACGTTAAAATGAGGACCAGCGCCCGTCGTTCGTTGGGTGTTTGTCGGTCCAGTTTACTTTATGGTCCATTTATACGAGGTCAATACCCGAGACAATCCAGTAGGCCTGTCCAGTATTAGCCTCTTGTTCATGGAGACAATCCTTAAGCCAGTCTTTGAAATAGAACGGTGTCTAATTTTATTGGAGTAGCTTACTGGATTGGCTCACCTAGCCAAGCCTGAACTGGCATCGTGTAAATGCACCTTACACAGCAGCACGAAAAGGCCGCGATAGGCAGGCTCGTTTGGACAAATTTACATGCGCGAGTTTTGCGTTGTAGCAAGGCCGTCACCAATATGGATCGTTTTTATTTTTCTTGTAAATAGATGACGTAAGTTTAATCAAGAATTTGTCTTGATAGAGTAAACAAGGCATATAAGAAATCGACACTGCATATCTCGACGGAGTATTTACCTCGAGTAAAGCAATACATGTCGATATATGCGATACAGTACGGAGACTGCCTCGCGAGTCTGCTCAGCCCGTGTGCAATCGCCAAATTTTTTACCCCATTATACATACATACATCTTCTAATACATTTAATAAACTACATCTATATGCTTGGCCATAATCTGTTTTCGACTAACCTAATTGTTAACTCATTTGCCGATACCTAATTAATAAATTATATGCAATAAACAAAAAGATATGGTAATAATAGATATTAATGATCAAAAATTCCTCCAAAATCTGTAAAAATTAACATTCCAAATGTGCCTGACAAACATGAAGCAAAGTGCATTACAAATCGAAAAGTTAAAAACCTGTTTGCAAAATCTCACGGCCTCAACCGGCAAAGTTTTTTCTTCCATTTGTTAATAAAAATATACAAGAAAGTACATAAAAACACTCTTAAAATAAACAAGTTTAAAGAAGTTTAATTACACTTACCTACAAAATATTGCACCACACAAATAATATCCGTAAAACTATTCAAAACACAAGTGTTTTAAAAATGTAATTCGCCTGCCGCACTCGTGACCCAGCGGGCATTCGCATTTGTACTAGCAGTGCTGCCAATATAATAGAACCGAAAGGAAAGAAAGGGATGACGTCATTACGTCATGATCATTTTTTTAAGAAACAGCAAAGGGATCTATCTCACCGTTGCATCCACGTCTTAGCTATTGTGGATTCATTACTTTGAAATATTACCACAGACAAATCTGCAGAAAGGAGGTGGAATATGTGTGTGTGTGTTCCAATCCATGACTCACTTTATAAATATTAAAATAATTCTGATAAAACTATCTATGTGCATTATTACGTTATAAATGTGATTCTTATATTTATTTTTACTAGTATACTAGAGTCTGGCAAGCGAAACGTGTCACAAGAAAAGGGCGGCAATTTCAAAAATTCTTAAGCAGTAAACACTGAATGTAGTACTGCAAAATAATTTTGATACTTTTATTAATTATATTTAATCTTAACATTTAGATATCAATTAAAATTATTTGTTTTGGAACATTTGACTAAAGCGTGACTGTTCTTAATTGTACAGTTAACAGCATATCAGTAGGCCTATTCACTAACTCAACTGACAACCAAGAATCGTCATCACCGTAAAAAATAGACACTGTGATTGTGTCAAAATCACTATTTCGTATTCTCTATCAATGATGAGCAATTTCGAAATGTCAATATCGGCATTCTCCACTGGACTCCATTTTGACACTTGATTTCGTATCGATAAACTGTATTAAAGTAACATTGTTGCAAAGCATATTTGAAGTCGTCGCATAGTACCTCTTAAGCCATTTGTTGTTAAATTAAAGCGAAAAAAAATACGTATCCAATATTTTTCTATTATCTGACTGACGGACTAAATCGAATCTTTTTTTTAACCCATTCGTTATACCTATTGGCTAACAGCACTTATAATATTAAAAATTCATATTTGTCATTAATTAAAAGGGTGTTTTTTGCAACGACTTCTTTGTTTTTTTGTAATGAATATGGGCGACTCTGGCCACATTTCTATATATATAAAAATGAATCGCAAAATGTGTTGGTAAGCGCATAACTCAACAACGCCTCGACCAATTTGGCCAAATCTTTTTTTAAAATGTTCGTTAAAGTTCAAGGATGGTTTTTACGGCGAGAAAAATTAGAATTATTGCTGGAAAAACCCTAAAAATAGCCCTTTTCTTTTTCCCATACAAATGATTTGTAACTAAAACGTAGTCAATTTGAGCTTTATTGCTATGGTATAAAGTTCATATTAAATTACAAGCACTCACATCACCAGGGTGATCTGTTCAGGAGAATTTTTTTAAATACGTAGGCAAAAAAACTGCCACATTACAAATCTTTTTGACAGGACGAAGTCTGTCGGGTCAGCTAGTTTTTAATAAATGTGATGTTAGCCAATTTTGATTTCTGGCCCTTATATTTATAATGTGTTCATAACACATACATGTCTCCTAAGGGATTTTCATCACAACCTTTTGCTCTGATCCAGAACCACTATCTATCAAATTAAATTAGTCAATATAAACACCAGATTACAATAAAAAAAACATTTATTTTTGTTACAATTAAGTGCCATGGATAAATTACATAATACAGGTGTCACAAAATCATCATGTTAATCACAATAGAAAATTTAAGATAAGATTTTGACTATGAATCAGACTAAAAATACTTTAGTCTGATTCATAGTCAAAATCTGTTTCTAAATATTCTACACCTGATAACAATGACAAGGAATCATCAGAGTCACTCTCTTCACTACTGTCTGCACCAACAGATATAATAAATTTTTCAAGTTCGTTTTCAACAATGCCATCTTTTAATTTGTAATCATTTTCGACATTTAAAACATGATCAGTGTATTTCTTCCAGTCACTAGGGGTAATTAAGTTAAAACACTCTATTATTAAGTTTTCCATTTCCTTTCCTGGTATTCCAATGTTTCTGCTTGCAATTTTTCTTTTTGCTTGACTCCAAACCATCTCTATTGGGTTTAAGTCACAATGATACGGTGGCAGCAATAAAAGTTCATGATTATGTTCTTTTAAAATCTCTTCAGCTTCATATACAGGCAATGTTTTCTTATCATTAACCAAACACATTAACTCTGCCTTTGTCTGATATTCCTCAAAATGTATTCCATTATTTACAAGCCATTTACGGATATCTGCTTTGGTATTAGACATTATAGGCGGTTTATTGATTTGTTTTATATGGTAGCTGGCATTATCCATAACAATTACACTGGGCTTACTTAAATTTGGTATTAATTTTTCTCTGACCCATTTCATAAAGTTCGATGAGTTCATATCATCATGATAATCAGCAGATTTGGATTTACTACTGAACACTAATAATGCACCAGGCACAAAACCTTCCTCAGATCCAGCATGCACAACAATATGCCGTTTTCCAGAGGATATCTTTGTAGTGACACCAGTTGTTGAAGGTCCTTGCCAAGACTTTTTAACTTTATAATTCTGATGTACATAAGTTTCATCAAGGTACACAATTTGCTTTCCTTCGTTTCGTTTTATATTTATTTCTCTCAAATACTTGTGCCTCCATGCAGAAATCTGGTATTTTTCTATAAGCATAGAACGTTCATTTTCATTGCTTTTAAAAGAAAATCCATTCTTAAGCATAATTTTTCGTAAAGTCTCACGGCTACCACTGAATCCTATTGCATCTTTTAATTCATTGTGAAGGCTTCTTAATGTTGGAACAATTTTTTTCACACAGTAAAATTCATTTACTTTATTCCGAATTGCACTTAAATCAAAATTATCTAAAGCAGACACTGTTGGTTGATGAGGTCGTTTTTTCCCAGGAGTGTCCCATTTTCCTTTATTAATTAATGCTTCATTTTTTATCCTTCTTAGTGTCCTTATACTTACATCTATAAAAGATTAAACACTTTGAAACAAAGATATGTTAAATGTATTTAAAAGCAAATAATGATAGACACATACATCAAAATAATTTAAATACCTATTCAACTATGAATGCAATTTATGTTTAATTTAGTTAAGTTTATGTGCATATTTAGCATGTATAACAATTACATGGTTTGATTAGTTTCATGAATTCTGTGAATTTCCTTGTTAAACAAAACATTCTTATGACATCATTGGATGTCAACAATAAAAACCAATACATCATAAAAAACCTATGTAAATATTATAGGAATACTATCAATCTATCTTAAATCAAAACAAGAAAAGAGACCTGTCATTGAAGAAATTTTTTGTAAGTACTGCGTTTCCGAATTCAGCATTTCTTGTTTTTCTAAAGTTTTTATTGCATTTATCTCCTCCATTATTGGTTGAATATCACCATCACAGTTATCTGAAATAGAGCAATATTTTATAAAAAATATCTGTTTAGTTAATTACAGAAAATTAAAACGAAAGTATCAAAATTATAATACAAAACTAACCTAAAAAAGATACAACTTTATCTAATCGTTGTAATTTCTCCATGAAATTTTTATTTAATTCAGTTTTCACTTCAGTAAACTTGTCAATCATGATGGAAAGAAGTTTCCTCGATGAACTTTTTATCGGCTTCGACATAATTTTTAACCAAAAACACAAGTTCGAATTCGCAAAAACAACAAAATTCAATATTCTTGAATTGTCTAACGTAGTGTCAAACTGACAGTTCTATGTTGTTGCCATATGAAAACGGAAAAATAGGTGGTGTCACGTTTCGCTTGCCAAACTCTATAAGCTTCTAGGATAATATATACTCGTTTGTCCAAATCTGATATTTGTGTCAATGTCAGTCATCGAGATGACAGAGAGGGATGTCATTCGTTCAGAAAAAAAAGAATTTTAAATCGTTTCACAAAAAATCAAGTTCTAAAAGTATGATATCAGATTTTTATTTAATGTTTCGATTTTTACAGGAAACGAATGGACCAAATATAGTCATTTCCATTCCTTTTAACTATCATATGAAAAACTTAAATTTGCAATTTAGATATCATTACAAACACGGATGTTAATTGAGTTTTGAAAATTAATTTACTTCTATACTTGAAAGAAAACCGGACTACGGAAGGTTAATAGAAGTAATGTTGGAATTCTAGGAATTGTCCAACTATGCAAAAGTATTTGTTGGCAATCAGCGTTATCGAACTGTACAAGGAATTTCTTTGGTGATATGTGATAGGGTCCACAGACGACGTTTAGAAATCGACAACAGGCTGTGTTAAATAATGTTTTCGTAACAAAAAGATAACTCATGAAACAAAAATATGAAAAAGTTAAAAATAGCCCTTCATGAAATCCTTTACACATCCAAGATGAGTCGCGAAAATCCGAAAACATAGAGAAATGACAAGAATACCAAACGCCAAACGCCAAAATTCATTTGAATATTTACCGCTCTTGTAACTTTAAGTATGTCCGCAACTTTATGGTAAGTTTTATTTTTTGTTACTAACGAGTGGGACGACGTATGACGGGCTGGAGTAACAGTGACAACTATACTATACTGACATTCGAATGCGCGAATGTGAATTGCGAATTAAAAAAACTAAAAATGTCGTAATCAATTTAGGAATTTGATACTGCTACTTTTTGAATTGAATTGAATCGGTCCGATTCGAGGGGTTCATGCGTCGATTCAAGAATCAATTCAGCATTCCACATCGATTTGAAAAATCGATTATGTTACTTTTAATACTCGATTTCAGATCGACATGCCTAATCCCTAATGTCAGACAAGATTCAAGTCAACCATAATGAAGGTGGGTCTAAGGTCCGTTTCTTATTACAATTAAGTCAACTGTCAAGTCAATTGTCATTGTCAATGTCAAATAAGTTTTAAAAACGAGCGGTTAAAAAATAATAAGCCGTTGCTGCTTCGAAATTGTCCATCGTTTGATTTGTATGATTACTGTAATATTTACGATAGTCTAATTTATGTTGAATATTCGTTGACGATATTACTCGTAATTAAGTAACTTGACAGTGTTTTAAAACAAATAATCAGCAGTGTTCATAATAGAGCGTTACTTCTACTCCAAAGGGTAAGTAAGATTACAACTAAACAATCCAATTAATCTTGCATTTATCTTTATGTAGACTTATCTTCACTTAATTTTCATTTAAACAAGTAATACTATATTCTATACTAATTTTATATACAGGAATGATAAATTTGTTTGTTTTTTTGTGCTGCATCATAAGCAGGTCACACAGGCTATAATTAACATGAGCAAAGATGTGAAAAAAATTTAAATAATTTTCAAACAACAGTTTATGTTTTTAGCAATGAAATTGCAAGTGACAGTTTCACAGAAAATTTCCAAGAGACACTTGTTGTATCTTCAGTAGATTTTGCATTGCCTCTAACATACAAAGACTAATGGAAGAGATGTAAAGAGTTCACTTTAAAGATAGTCCCTCATTGTAAAGCTCTTTACGCATGAATTCAGATAATGCAATATGTTTGTAAGCAGTAAAAATTAGAGAATTCAACCTTATGCATACATAGAACAATATTCAATTCAGAGTGCTGTGATGTCATAACCACACCATGACAGAAGTGGCATTTTCATGAGAAATTTTGAAAATAAAATTAATTTATAGGTATAAATTTATTGTATTGATGATATTTTTTAGGAAACATAAATGAAAAATGTAAGTGTTATCTACGCTCCTATTCAATAGCAATGAGCATTATCGCAGGAATCGCACACCATAGTAAAATTTATAGTGATTGCTAGTGTCAATATCAATTACAGATCTTCTTAATATCAAATAGTGTGTAAGCCTAATCTAGCTTCAGATGCTTTGATCTGCATTCCTTTACAACCACGCCATTTTCTATCCTTTAAATCGAGACACACAATTATTTGCGCAATCTCATATTTACAAGTACTCAACATCATTATTTACTATTATTCTATATACAAAAAAAATGTAATTAATTAGTATAGGAAACTGGATTTAAAAGCGTGTACCCAAGAACTATAAGAACAACAGATTTTTCCAACATTCTTTTATGCATTTACATAAAATATATGTTCTAAGTAGAAAGAGAATAATTAAGCCACGGATTACACCATTTATAACATTTATAACTTAATTAAACAAAGTAAAGCAAAATATCAAAGAGCTGAACTTATTAAAAATTTGTAAAAAAAAAATATTTATCTTAGACTAAAAATTCGCTAAGTAAACTTATTCCTGATTCTATTGAGTCATCATCCACTATTGACAGAGTCAACCAATTTTTTGCAAATATTGGACATGAACTGGCCGGGAGGATAATAAGCGCATCGGATCCCAATTTGTCAACAATTAATCCAAACGATTTATTTAAAAAAAAAACTCCCATCAGTTCCATGTGACTATAATTAATAAACTAAAAAATACGTCAGTTACTGATTGGGATGGCATACTCACTACAGTGATTAAGTTGACTAAAAGGACATTGACTCCAATACTTGTATATCTTTTTAACTTTTGTCAATCTACAGGTGTTTTTCCCAGATCATTTAAGAAGGCTTAGGTGCATCCTGTATATAAAAATGGTGACGAAAGTAGTGTCAACAATTATAGACCTATGCTATCCAAAGTACTTGAAAAGATCTTAAATCGTAGACTTCTTCGTTATCTTGATACTATCGCACAGCCAAACTCTGGAACAGTTTGTCTTCAGCGGTATTTCCGGACCGATACGACCTTCAAACTTTCAAGTGCAGAGCATATTCGTCCCTCAAAGGCCGGCAGCGAGCTTGTAGCTCCTCTGGTGTTGCAGGTGTCCATGGGCGGCGGTAATCACTCACCATCAGGTGATCCGTCTGCTCGGCTGCCCCATAATCTATAAAAAAAAATGGCAATATACTTGCGGTTAATCAATATGGTTTCCGTCGAGGAAAGTCCACTGAAGATGCCTTGCTTAATCTGACGGGAGCAATAATAAATAATTATAACTCGAAACATCAAATTGTTGGGCTTTTTCTAGATTTTTCTAAGGCCTTTGACACTTGTTTTCGTCCCGCTTTCGTTGAGTGAACAAGCTGTTGTTTGTTATCATAAAGAATCCACTCTTTATCACATGTCACAATTCAATATAACGCACCCCCGGTGCGACACTGTCACTTTTGCAAAAAATACAAAAATTAGTTAAATATGTAATAATTGTCCTAAAGCCCCCTTTACTTGGTGCGATAATGTTACTTTTGTAGATGAATCATACGGAATTATGTTCCGTATGATTCATCTCATCTGTATCTTCTAAAGTCATTGTTTTGTGAGGTGGCAGAGTTTAAAACTCTTCTCCTGAAAAACTAAATTTTTGCATAAGTGACAGTGTCGCACCGGGAGTGCGATAATATTCCTTTATTTCTGTACCGATTTAACATGGCAACACAAGTTTCAACACGCGTTTTTTTTCGTCAGATCAGTCAAATCACGAGGCACCCATTTTTTGTATTTTTTATTTTATTGATTTGACGCAAATGAGTCGATATTGTGGGTAAGGTAATGTTAAACCATGCTGGCAATTCCTGGGTAGTTTGACTGGGATCGGCTTCCACCATCTCTCTTAATTCCTCGTTATTCACTAGTGTTTTCGGAACCGGTATGCTTTTTTGAACTGGGAATTTCGGTACTTTTGTGAAATGGAACAGGGATTTCTCGGCTCTTTCGGTATTTTCGGTTCTTACTAGTTTTTGTTATAGAAAATAGGTGCTTCAAAAGAATAGTAAAATGTAGTATTCGAGTAATTTTAATTCGATTTTTTTCTTCTATTCTCATACTTAGTAGTAGGTAATTATATATAAATCAGACTATAATCAAACAGTGTTATTATTAGATTCTTAAGTAAGTATTTGCTGTCAATAAAATGGTAAAAATTAGGCAATCATATTAGATCCCTTAAACAAATTGGGTATTAAATCTAAACAAGACCAACTACATAACTTTTTCCGTTACCGTGTCTTTACCATCCTTCCCGTACCATATTTTTGCTCATAAGTCTCTTCCTCAAACTTGTACAAATTATGAATGTACTCAAAATACGCATGTAGGGATGACGATTGGGTAAAAAAAAGAAATTGTTTTTAGTCTGTCAGTTAGATAATAAAAAAAATATCAGATACTTTTTTTTTACTTTATTTTAACAAGAAATAGTCTAGATACCAGGCATTAAGGCTCGCTACGTCACAGTTTTGGTATAAAGTCTCTTATTGACGTCACACGATACTACGGTTAGCGAAAAACGTATGGGCGTCAGGGTAATCTTGGTTATTTGTGCCTTTATGTTAATAGTTGTTACAATTAAAGTTATATCATTTTATGTAACTAATTTAATGCCAATGTATTTAGCAAATTTTTGTAGTATATTTTCCCTACAGTTTGATATATATGTATATATATATGTATAATAGAAACCTGTATTTTCACTTGTAAGACAGACACAAGCCTATTGTTAAGGTATTTAATAATGTTTATCTTCGGTTTGTTTTCTAGGAGATAAAACATTGTGAATTAGTTTTACTACGACTATGATATAATTGTACGATTTTTTTTTTGACTTACATTCATCCCTCGTCTCCGTCTTTGATACCGAGCATACGATGGTAGCTATGACCTTGTTTCAAAAATCCATAAAATAAATATGTAAAGCATAAAACTGTTTTCTTTTTAACCTGAACAATGGTGTTTAATATCTGATGTTCCATTAATTTAAGTAATCTTATGAACTATTACAGATAAATCATGTCATCTGTTGAAGAACGCTTGGCAAAACTGAGGGAAGAGCGTATGGCCAGGGAAAAGGCGAGAATAGACAAGGTAAACAAACTCTTGCGATAGTCAATCATCGGTAAATCGTGGTATTATGGATTTTTTGCTAAAGATCGATATTATTTATAACTCAACGTCAATAAAATAAAAATAAAATCTATAGATATTTTTTTTGTTACAGTTACGAGAGTTGAATTTAAAGAAATATAACAAGAATGAACCAGTACATCCAAAAAACGATGTGTCTAGCGCTTCTATAGCCAATAAAAATGCTAAACCCGATATTTTTAAGAAAATTAATTCGCACGTTAAAAATAACTTCCAGGTCAATAATACTACAAAACGACCTATATCAGTTCCGAGTGTCATTAAAAACGGATTACCGATTAAAGACTCCGTTGTTCCTAATTCAAAACCAAAAACTTTAGTAAACTCTGCTCCTATTACTAAAGCCAGTAAAGGTTTGAATAATAAACCTGATGTAATTCCAAAAAATGTTGACAAGAAATCCGCTGGCAATAACAATGCGAGAAGCCAGATTCCGTCGGTGCATAATTTCAAAACGAATCCAAAAAAGAATTTTGTTTCTAACACAATTAAACCTACAACATCCGCTCCTGTTGCAACTGTATCCAGGAAAAGTATTGCGCCACCCAAACCAGTGGCAAATCCATTAAACCATAGACAATCCGTCTTCGAAAGATTGTACAAACCGAAGATAGTTGTGAAAAAACCCGAGGATGATGTGACTAAACTCCAAACTGATCCGAATTATTTTAAGAAAGTCATAAAGGACTCTGGATTGATCCTCAACAAAAGGCATACGGTCTTTGACGTTAATCCGAAGATAAAAGTTGATCCGCCGGTTCGCCGTTCTATATCAGCGGTACACTTTAAAAGGTTGAATAAAAATGAATTGAGTAATTGTATACATAAGTGGTCTTCTATTGGTGAGAAATTAAATAAAGTTCATTTAAAAGATATAAACGAAGACGAATCTGTTAAGCAGGATAAAGTGGTATCTGCTGTAAAAAGTGACAGGAAAAGAGTTAAGTTCCAAACACCTGTTTCCTTCAATTTCAACACTCCAAAGCCTGAAGAACTCCGGATGAGGCTGACGAGTTGGCTGCAGAAGCGAGGGAAATCATTAGACTCTTACCATCATTTGCAATGTTTCGGCATACATCATTTAGCTCAAAGGGAAATAAGACCGATTATTGAGCCAACAAAACTGGAACTCTATGATGATGAGAATAAGGAGAATATTGCTCTGGAGCATGATAGCGATAATGACTCGTACACTGCCAACATGAATGAGGAATACGAAAACGTTGGCGGAAACGATAAATGGAGGCGAGCCAGTTTCGTCAGTGATAGTGTCGATTTGAATGACACGCAAAATTCAACTTTATCGTCCTACGATACGGTTCAACAAGTGGATGAGGTGCTTTTGGGCGCTTTAAATGATTTGGCAGAGTTGCTGCGAGAGGTAAGATCCTTGTATACCTAGTAAGGATTCGCCTCAATGTGGTGACCCGAAATCTTTTTGAATCTTGATGTAGAGCTACCTAAGTAGGTAAGTTTCTTACTGTAGTTTTTGTCATAAATATTTTTAAATTCAACTCCGCCGAATTACATGAATAAAAAGGAGTGTAATTGTCGAATTTCCAAATATATCGCAATGCCTTTTAATTTGACTTACTTTAGGAACTTCACGCTATAACTATTAGACGTGAGATTGTGATTGCAACGTTTTTGTTGAAAGATATTGACGCGTTTCTGTGGAGTCATATTATTTAACGTTTCGAAACAAGCGCTTGTGTTCGGAGTAACAATAGGCCTTCTGTCATATTCTATTTGTGAGTTTTTGTTTAGTTTTGTTGTATTCTAGGGCTTTGATTGGGAGCAATGCGCCCGTTGGTTGCGTGCGATAAGGGAGAGATTCCCATACGCTCCTGACACTGCCGCGTATTGGGAATGTCGAGCTGCCTTGGAGGAGACCAGGGGTGACCTGCCCGCTTCCGTTCAATGTTGGGAAGAGGCCATCGCTAAAGGAACCGAGGTACTAATCAACCAGTGTGGGTTGCCATCATCCTACCGTAGTGCTACTTTGATCTGGAAGCTTTAAAGTTGTAAAAGTCGAGTAAGAGAATTATATAGCTATTTTTAGGGTTCCATACCGCGACCATAAGACTACGGCTGTATTTAATAAACCGTGATAAGTAGATAGTTGAAATTTTCTGGTGCCGCTATAACAACAAATACTAAAAAAAGGCTTCCATACAAAAACCATTTTTTTAAGAAATGCTGCTATTATTTAATTTTTATTATTCAGCCATATTTATTTCCAGCACTCCGTAGTGGAATCAAACCTTGACCAACTATTGGACAAATTTATGCAACTGAAGATAAGTCCCAATAGTGGGAAGCGTAAGACGATCGATTCCAAAATGGTTGACGTGAAGAATGTATTCAAGAGTACTATAATACGATTCGCCGTTCAGCAAGCTAAACTGTAAGTATACTTATTTATTTAATTAAAATAAGAATTTAGCTTTTTATAATTTTCCTCTTATTGATTCAGGTTATAGCTTAGAAATAAGATGTTTTTACCATTGGCTACCTGGCAATTACAAGAAGAAATTATGAAATATGTTAATATATAATAGTAACAATATGTAAATAATTTTTTGATAGAAAATAAATTGTAAGTATTTTTGCAAAAATTACTTCGGCGGCCATGACGGAGCAACGTGTGACGTCATATTTCAATAAACTAAACGTCAACATATTTGTTACGCGTGCAACCAGTACTCATGTTTATTGAAATGTCACGAGCCTATTGAACATCTTTTGAAGAAAAATAAATGTGATAGTGGTTTTGTTCGCGGAAACACCTTCGATAGCCCATGAGCACAAGTGAGTTGATTCTATCGCCGATCCTTGCGTTTCCATTGGTATTTATGTAATCCAGGCATAGGATTCCCCACCATGAAGTAAACCTCTCACATTAACACCGATAGCTTCAGGAGATAATGGATCGATCACCGATGCACTGGTTTCCAAATAATCTGCAATCGTCTTATGTATGGCGAAAACTATTCTTTGCAATATTTGTACACAATTCAACACAAAATATTAAAAGTAATCCGATATATCACACCAAAATCCGATAATTTGAACAACAATAATTTAATTAAAAACTCATATAGGTATGTTTTGCGCCACCGCCCGTGCGTGAGAGCGAGTTTCTTTTTTTTTACTGGCCGCGGCATCCGTCAACTTTGGGTCGTGGATTTGTAGTTTACCCACATATTGAGAGTTACTATGCCTGAAAATTTAAAATACTTTGGAACCAAAGCAGTCAAGTAGCTATTGTTTTTAACTACTTTAGGCTTTTTTAACTAACACTATATACTATAAAACAAAGTCGCATTCTCTGTCCATATATCCCTATGTATGCTTAAATCTTTAAAACTACGCAGCGGATTTTGATGCGGTTTTTTTTTCATAGATAGGGTAATTCATAAGGAAGGTTTTTATGTATAATACAAGACCACGCGGGCGAAGCCGCTAGCGGAAAGCTAGTCTACCGTAAATTAAGGTTAAGTAATACACATTACATAGGACCAAAGAAAGAAGTAACATTCGAATCTGTTTACTTTTTCAACAGAATCGGGAAACAACATTTGACAAAAGAAGTAACCATCTCGTAAATTGTGTACCATTGCGACATGTATATCGTCTTACCGCATTAACATGGTATTATTATAGAACTATCAATATGTAGTTAAAACATATATGGTAATGTTTCATATAAGTGGCCTATAAGATATATAGGACGACAATAAGATGTAGGCTTTTTTCGGAAGAATTATTTGTTCAAATTTATAGCGCAGAATATCATTTATAGGACATTTCTTCTGCTGGAATATATATTATGCATATACTTAAATTTTATTATTAAAAGTCATATGAATTCGTATCCTTTACATTAGCTATTCAAAGTCAAAGATAACAAGTCGACTTCCAGAAATTTACTTTGTTTCTATAACCCAACAATGATGTGGTATATAATTCAGTGGTTAACGCGTTCGGTCTGCGTTGCGGAAGTTAAGCAACTTTCGTAGTGGACGGCCATAGGATGGGTAATGCGATTTTTTCATAACTCTAGCTCCTCTGTGCTTCGTTAGACACGTTCAGCCGTTGGTCTCGCTGCATCTGAGGTCGCACACCAATCCGTGACTCATAAGCTTCCATCCAAATCATGTGCCCCAGAAGTTTCTAATACATATTTAATAACGACAATATCAGTGTATACGACGTATACTTATCGCTTTAAATTGAATATCGGTAATTGAATATGTATTCATATTTTTTTATAGCCGTCGCTCGAGCCAATGCGACCTGCCAAAGTACACAGTGACTCCAGTGCGCAGGAGTTCCCGTCTCAGTTGTCAGTGGAGCGGCAAGAGACCTCTACAGGAATGTCTGAGCGTGAAACACGCCAAGCAACTGGCCCCCGTCGAGTTCGTACCTAACCCGTCATTGTGTCGCACACCTTGATATTTGGGGGCAAGTTTGTACTATAGTGTAGTAGTGTTATAGAGAACTAATGGCTCGTGTTGACATGCGTCTTGATCTTTAATAAGGTAGAACGTCATGTTGTGTTGTTTTTGAAAGCCATTTGATGGATTTGATTTGGTTTGATGTTTGTATTCTTATACAGTAATGTAATGTGATATTATTAATTTTAATATGCATTAGTTTTCATGATGCCTTCTAATTTTAATCAAATCTGTCATAAATATTGAAATTATTTATTCACTAAAAAGATATGGTATTTTGAAAACTAAAATTAATCTGTATAATTGCACTGTTAACATTTTCATTCATAATAAAATGACGAATTAGAATATTAGCGCCATCTATTGACAGTTAAAAGTAACATAACCGTGTCGTTCCACCTTAGTATATAATATATTTTGCTTATCTATCCTAATTAAAATATAACTGACGGATTTGCCTTAAAGGCAAATATCGCTCGCGCTTACATTATTACAGTGATATTTTTAATGTATATCTCGGGGTAAACTTAAATCTATCAGAATGGAAGAGGAGAAAGATTTTTTGTACGAAATCATATTAACCATCGCACACGTTTGCGATGAATCTTCAGAATTCTATCACCTGACATTAATTTGTGATATTTAAAAGAAAATTCCTTTCGTTCGCCTCCTTCGGCTCATGAGATATGCGTCACTGCGAAAATTAATCAAAGGATTTTGTGTGCAAATTGAACAAGTGCCGAAAGTAGTTTTAGTTTACGTATTTTAATGCTTTAAAAACAAACCCTATCCTAGTAATGTTAGTGTTTTGTGTAAAAATAGAGGGCTTTTTAATCTAATAAAACTCGACCCCTGGTATAATATTTAGGGGTAATTACTTAAACGTAATTTTGGGGGTTGATTTTCGTCCCCCAATGATTTTCATAAATAATGAAAATCTGATTGAGTGTAGGCATGTTGTTTCTTAGTTTTTTATTTCCAATACATTGGTTGTGTGTTGGACAAATTTGCACTCTTACTGAAATTATGTATAATTTTTATTGCTATACATTTTTGTAAACCATTTGTTTCATTTATTAATACTTAAACTAATAGTTAATTTCGTGAGTTTGGCTTAGTTTTTAAAGAGTATGTTATTGGCAAATAATATTGTTGACATTTGAGGGTTTTTAAATATTAATACATTTTTTAAAAGAGGTTGTCGATTGTATACGCAGCAGTACGTCAAGCGATTTTGAATTTTTGAACTAAACTGCCAACGAAAGAAGGCTTAAAATTAATCTTAAGACTAAGATTTTTTTTACTTTTAGATATCTTTTAGACCTTCAGATAAATACGTTTTTTCACTATTACAGTCAAATATGATAGATGAATACTCGGAAATAGTAGAGTTTTATCATAAATAAAACTTATAAAGTAAGGTGTCTTTTGAAGCCTATTTTTTATATATTTATAGGCTTCAAATAACGGTAACATGGCAAAAAAGTATGTAATTCTACTAACAGCATTCACATCATTTTAAGATAACTTATAGTTTGAGTTTATAGGACAAAGCACTATGTAACTTATTATTTTCATAATGATTAAATACTGTATTGTTAAGGTCTATATTACTTATATCTCAATTAAGCACTGAAGTAAATAATTTTATTATAATATCATGTTGCCAAATGTAGTTAAGAAAATTCTAATTATATAAAAATTGTAACTCACTAAAGTTAACAAGTAATTAAAAGCATGCCAGACAATATTCATATCAACTTTGTGACAATGATTCACATCAAGTTAAGTCGAAATTGACTAGGAACTGTTATAAGTGCAAATTTATTTATTTGTATAGAACACTAATAAGATACGAATTGTCATAGTTACCAAGTAAAGGTAATGAATTATGCTGAATTCTGCTTTGAATATGAAGTATTTAATATTAGAATAATTTCATTATGTGTGGGTGCTAACAAATTAGTTAGCAAAACACCAAGTTTGTTTCCCAGTTTTATTCAACAAACATCATAAAACATTTACAGTGTTATTAACAAACAAGGCTTAGCGTTCAGACTATTAAACAGAGTAGTAGGTTTGCTTATTCTCTGTATAACATGCCTTTGGACTAATACTAAAATTGCAATTTTAGCGTAAATTTACTCTGACGCTAAACCTTGTTTATTAATAGCATAGTTAATGTTTTACAATTAAATATACATCGAAAGAGAAGTACGATTAACTATGTAAAAATATCTGTATATAATTTGTAAGCACCCTATATATATTGAACTTTATTTAACTTGGTTCTTCTCTCTGCCTAGTCTTTAAATTGTTTCTTATTTCGTAACATATATTTTTATAAATCTTTATAAAACTGATAATACTTATAACATTTAAATAACCAGGTTTAATAGCTCTTTAATATATCTTGTCATTGAGTTTATGTCACTATGGTCTGTGTTATTAATGACTAGTGAGTTATTGAATGATTTTCGCTTATATTCTATCATAAGAAAAGTTACAAGATAGTTTAAAATGTTTGTAAATAGTTTTAACTAAGAATTTATTATAAGTTTCTGGGCACAAATAGATTCGTGAGACGAAACAAAAATATTAGTATATAATTGTTTACCCTAGTTTTTGTGATGATTAAGGCCGACACATATCTGACTAAAGTGTATTCATCATCAGACGCCGAAAATCGGAACAGACAAATTATATGATTTAACAGTTAAAAAAAGAGAGTAAAAGAACGTGAATATGATTCTCCATAACTAACACAATATTAAATTCTGTTTACTGACTACAAATTTTCCCTGTATATAGTGTTTTATCTCATGTTACTTTTTCTGTATTGTCTTTGTTAAGCTTAGCCTTATAATAAAACTGATAAATGGAAAACACGATATGTATAAGGTATGTGACTACTAAATAGTACAGAGCAGTATTAGATGAATTAAAAAAAGTACATCTTTATTAAATACTAACAAAGTTCAAAATCGTTCAAACCATATACAGACTGGTTTAATGCATTTAACGGAGACTAAGCAGTCATTACTCGCTATATTATAGAAATAATTTTGTTTTAGGCAGTTTTATTTTCTTATTAGCAAACTTATTTGCCACAATAAAATCTATGTAATTGTGGGAGCCTTGATAAATTTACTATGCAAAGGTATTTAAATATAAATTAATGTACAGTTGACTTTCACACAAGTCAGTACAAATCTAATGAATTTCTGTTATCAGTTTGAATCTTAATGTGTAAAAGTTGAGATCAAATTGACTCTGCAACTTTATATCTAATGGTGACTGTGTGCTGCTGTGTACTGTACATATTGATTTATGGCATGTTATAAATTGTCAATGGCACGTTCCACTATACAAAACTGTTAAATTTCCCCACTTGAATTTAAACTTTAATACATTATGGGTAGAGGTAATCTATTATAGAAAATTGACATTTTGTGCTACCCTGCCGTGTGTACAATTGAAATTATAGCATGAAATTCATTTGTGCACAAAATATTCTGTTCCCTGTGTAAAAAAATATTTCTTTTACTAGATACTAAATTATTATTGAGGCCTTATATTTTTTACTTTAAATATATAATGTATAAAACATGTTGTTTCATTTGACTTTTAGTTATATTGCTCTACAAATAAGCCGTTTGGTCGTCTTTCTCTAGCCTCTCTCTTTAGACACCACGTTATTCTTCTAAACTATAGTACTTTAGAAACTAATTCTTTTAAAATATTTAATGATAAGTCAAATGTGTAACGCCTGCCGAATACTTTCCTGATGGTAAAATCATAGCAAACACATTGCTGACTTATGCATAGAGTACATTATGGACATAAATTATTTATACAACATCACATACACTGCTCAGATACCCAAATGGAGGAACTCTAAATCCGTTATATTGAAAACAACAAAGAAACTACAACACCTGCACGGGTAGCATGACAAACTCGAGAAACGCTTTGTCTACACTCACTTGTCAGTTTGTCGGGTCAAGAGTGAGATATCGTATGGGCGCACCCGAGAAAAGTGACATTTGAGTGTAGACAAACGTTCTCGAGTTCGTCATGCTACGCGTGCTGGACCAGATACAAAATAGATAATTTTGTTTTCTACTTTGACCCTACCGGGATTCTAATTTGGGGCCCTCGGAGACAGAGGCGCGCGCGGTCAAGCGCCACGTATGTTCGGATGTTTTTAAAGGTCCGGTTTGATTTCTGTCCTGAAAGTAATCGACCAACATAAAAAAATATTTCTGTGCGACATGTGTTCGATTGACTAACTGTTCAACCGGTTGGGCGGTGACACAGTCCCAGTTCATGATGCATTTAATGCATCCATACAAAGTTTTTTATATACTTATACTAGCTTTCGCCAGCTGCTTCGTCCGCGTGGTCCCTAGGGAAATGTTAAGTGGGATTAAAAGTATCCTATAATCTAAGTCAGCTAATTCCCCTATCTATATACTAAATTTCATCAAAATCCTTTTAGTAGTTTGGGCGTGATTGAAGGACAAACATCCAAACAAAGAAATTTTCACATTTATAATATTAATAGGATTATTAACTTTAAATACTTGTTGCATCGAAGTGTCTTGTGTGAGTTCAATAAGTGCTGAACTGCTTGAGCGGAAATATTTCTAAACTGAATAGAGAATTACCATTCGAAAAAATATAAATAATTCGACATTGACAGTTTTGACACATAGAATTTGGTCCTATCCTTAAACATTAAACTAACAATGACAATTGACATAAATTTTCGAGACACATTTCAAAAATCTGCCTTGTTGGTGAATGTCGCTCTTTGTTTCGATTTCATTTTTCTTTTTATTTTAACTAGAACAAAGCTTGAGTGCTTGATATATTTAAATAGAAAATACATTCCACCGTGCCTTGTGTTATTAAAGTGTCTTCAAGATTTTCCTGTGTCCGGTCCGAACAGCTGATTAGGTCAAGGAATAGGAAAACTTAGTGCCCGGTGAGTAGAAGTTTTTACAATAATTTTAAATTTAGTTATCTTGTGCTTTAAAGAATAATATAATCGTAATTATATTATGAAT